CAATACAGATTGTGTCAAAGCAACTGAACAGCATTAATTAGGAAAATAGTGTGTCAATAATGCAAAATGACAATAGTAAACACAAATTTTTCAGTTAAAGGCAGTTCATCATTGAATTCAGTGATGTCATCATCCAGCTCAGTTCAGTTTAAATAGTATCTTTGCAATCAAGTCAACGATATCGTTGGAAATGAAGTGTTCCCAACTAAGCAAGCCAGAGGCGACAGCGGCAAGGAACCAAAACTCCATCGGTGACAGAATGGAGAAAAAACCTTGGGAGAAACCAGGCTCAGTCGGGGGGCCAGTTCTCCTCTGACCAGACAAAACCAGCAGTTCAGTTTCAGGCTGCAGCAAAGTCAGATTGTGCAGAGGACTCATCTGGTTCCTGTGGTCTTGTCCCGGTGGTCGTCTGAGGGTATCTGTCTCATCTAGTTGTCCTGGTCTCCGCTGTCTTTCAGGGCTATAGAGGTCCTTTCTAGGTGCTGATCCACTAATCCACTATCTCTACATTTTTACATGACTATCATTATTATCAATTGCTAATATGCTCTCTTGTGTATAGCAATATGCCTATGGTTTGTATGGAGACCTTTGTGAATATGAAAATTTGTGCAGTATCTTGTACCACATAGAAATCCCAATTGCAGGAAATACTTTAGAAAAGTGAAGTACAATTCTTTCTCAGTATGCCATTGAAGGCAAAATCCCTTCTGTTACAGAAAGATACAGAGTGGATCTCTGCAGCATTGCCTCTGCTTCCCTGAAGGGGAAAATGTGACCTACTTTTAACTCACTGCCTTGGATTGGCTAACACACTTGGCGTGTTTGTGTGTGTGTGTTTTCTATGTGAGCACAAATGTGTGTACTACTATATGTTCCTTTTATAATAGGTTTCATATACCTTTATTTACAGTTGTTCTTGATGTCACAACTGACAGAAATGACCTACAAGTACAGCATTTTAAAATAATTTGCATTGAGTAAATATTTATGCATGTCCTAAATTCCTTTACAAATTGTCAGGTTGAGTGTTGAGGGATCAGAAACACTTTTGAGCAATAAAATATGTTTTTTAATTAATTTAAATAACTACCTTACTCCTCTCTCTCCCCTTTCTTATTTCTCTTTTTTGCAGGTATGTTGAAAGCTGTGAGTTTGGCAGTGGATCTCATAATGGCACATTTCAACTCAAGACAAGACCCAGAAGAAAAGGTGGTACAAGGAGTCAAAAACATTTTTTAAGTAAAAAAAAAAAAAAAGAGATGTAAAAAAAAAAATATCAAATATTACCCATGGGCCCTAATTAGACTGTCAGATAAAAACATTTGTATATAGTTTAATGTACAGAGTCCTTTTAGAATAATAAGGCATCTCAATCTGATGTCTTAAATTGTTTTGTCATTTTGTTTTCAGATCAGACTGGGAAATAGTTTACTGTGCACCACTATCAGCAACCTTGTCCTTAAACAGCTCTACCCCGCAATCCAGAACATCCTTCAAAATGGTTTGAAAGCCTATAAATTGGACTTGATTATTGGACAACGACGCAACAAACTATGGAACGTCGTCGAGGCCACGGCACGACCAGGTCTGTATGAGCCAATCAGATAAAAAGCAAATTAAACATCTTCTTCATTATCAGAGTGCCTTCGAAAGCTAATTCCACACTGTTTTTATGACTGCCAATAATTTTCTTTTCACAGGCTCATCTACCCGACTGTCTGACAGCTTGGTGTCTGTGGTAAAAAAAAATTCCCAGTTATCAAGTCGCATGCGGTTCAGTGTCTTCATCATAGATCTGCTAAAGTAGGTCAAATGCTGAATACATCTTTTAAAATTTGCACCACAGTACAGTTAGCTAATGAAAATATTATTTTTTAGCTTGCATGCTTTGGAATTCTGGATCCGTCATTTATACACTTGCGTTGGTGAGTATTATGAGGTTTAGTGACAACTGTAAAGGAATGTATTGACCACTGTCCCAATACTTAATTCCTTACCATTTTATACTCAACTCTATTCAAGATGTTGTGACGGAACACTATCACCAATGGGGTTTCTTGGCTTTGGCCCTGGGGCCAACTTATAGACCACTGTTCCAAGAGCTGCTTCTTTTGCTGCAGCCACTCTCCCTGCTGCAATTTGACCTCCATCTTCCATCCGAACCTCACCTTCAAAGTAAGGAAAAGCAAAACCACAGAGCACCCCTGCCTCATAGGCTTCTTGCCCAGTCAGCTCAGATCCTGCAGATGAGCTCGATCCAGAAGAACAGCAGGAGTCCAACAGGTCACAGCGATGTCTTCAGTCAAAGGGTAACTGATGGATTTTGGCTTAATAAGACGCTCACCTCAGAGTGTGAAACACAGAAGAAAGAGGATGTAGCAACTGGAATGGAAAACAATGAGATGCCACAATCTTCAACAAGTCCTCTGGAGGACAAATACTTGAGTGAGCTGCGTTGGGCCAGGCTCTTCGGCTCTAAAGTTGGAACACCAGTTGGCCCACATAAGGCACAAATAAACATGAGTGGACCTCTGAGAAGGTTAGTAACTGTGATTCTTCAAAACTTCTAATAAAGTCACTTTGTTAACTTTGGTTGTCTTTTATCTTCCTCCAGAAGGCCTTCAGAATGGCTGAAGCTTGGTGCATCCAAAGTGGATCTGCTTGCGCAGTCAGTGTGGATAGGAAAATGGCCAGAGACTCATCTGAGTGGTAACCATGACAGAGACACCCCAAACAAAGATGAGATATTATTCTAAAGAGCCCACAAGGAGTCTGATTTTAGCTAGACAGAGTAGAAGCACAATTAATCCAAAATAAACCTTACATAGTCAACCGACACATCCTGTACAATCCAGTGCAAGTGCACTCATATCATATTTACCAATCAGGACAATCTGTATTATACCTTGGTCTTTAAAAGGTAACAAAATATTCACTAACTTCAAGCCATTATGAGATAAAGTTTTTAGATTAAATTTATAACACAATCATAGTAGTGTAGAGTATATAACATGGATGGATATCGTCTGCCAGCAATCAAGCACAAAACTGGAACTGAGGTCCTCAGAAGTCTTTTCCAACCAAATTCTGCACTTTATCTCTGTCTCAGGTCATTATGTCATGTAAATCTAGTCATATAATTTCTGCTGTTGTTGAACTATGTCACCTTTATTTATATAGCGCTTTTAACAATACAGATTGTGTCAAAGCAACTGAACAGCATTAATTTGGAAAATAGTGTGTCAATAATGCAAAGTGACAATAGTAAACACAAATTTTTCAGTTAAAGGCAGTTCATCATTGAATTCAGTGATGTCATCATCCAGCTCAGTTCAGTTTAAATAGTATCTTTGCAATCAAGTCAACGATATCGTTGGAAATGAAGTGTTCCCAACTAAGCAAGCCAGAGGCGACAGCGGCAAGGAACCAAAACTCCATCGGTGACAGAATGGAGAAAAAACCTTGGGAGAAACCAGGCTCAGTCGGGGGGCCAGTTCTCCTCTGACCAGACAAAACCAGCAGTTCAGTTTCAGGCTGCGGCAAAGTCAGATTGTGCAGAGGACTCATCTGGTTCCTGTGGTCTTGTCCTGGTGGTCGTCTGAGACAAGGTCTTTACAGGGTATCTGTATCTGGGGCTCATCTAGTTGTCCTGGTCTCCGCTGTCTTTCAGGGCTATAGAGGTCCTTTCTAGGTGCTGATCCACTATCTGGTCTGAATATGTACTGGATCTGGGTGACTGCAGTGACCATCTGATCTGAATACAGACTGGATCTGGTGGCTAAGGTGACCTCGGAATAAGAGAGAAACAGACTAATATTAGCATAGATGCCATTCTTCTAACGATGTAGCAAGTACATCGGGTGTTATGAGAAGTGTTCCCGGTTCCGGTTGACCTAATTAATGCAGCCTAAAAATCCTTTAA